AGGAGGGGGGGCGACGTTTATCAAAAGACGTTGGCGAACGTAGAGTCAGCGCAGTTAAGAAAACAACGATAAAACGTACATTTAAAAAAAAAAAAAAACATTTGTGTCTGACCTGTTTGATGGCGGTGACGGTGATGACGAAGAAGAGCGGTAGTCCACTGGTGATGGGACTCGTGGGGGTGTCGATGATCAGCTGTGGTTGCACAAAGAACGGATTAGAACGTTCACTTTAACAGATTCTACGTAAAAGTTCTGTTGAAGGCTCGCAATCGTTGATTCCGTTTGTTCCTCCTATGACGGGGCTATTCAACTGGTGGCCCCGGGGCCAAATCAGGCCCAAGGGTGAGCTCAGTTCGGCCCACCAATGGGTTCATTTTTAAATAAAACTATATTTTAAGTCATAAAACAACCTTACTTAATGTCCAGCCCTCTGAGCCGTTTAGTTAAACAGCCCTGCCTTAAGACTTTTCACTTCTACCACTGCCTACTTCAGCTACTGCAGGGGTTTGAAACATTTTTTAATAAAAAGTCATTTAATCCCATTCCCTCACTAAATAAAATGCGTCCAGAGCCGCAAAATCTGCTACAGCTGGGATTACCAACTGGTGGCCCATGGGCCACCTCGAGTTCGTTAGAGGGGCTTTATTCTGGCGCCAAAAATAAATAAAGCATTTTAATTTTTAATAATGTGTCTGTGTATATTTGTCTGCCTGCTTGCTTATTTATTTATTTGTTTGTTCATTTGTTTTTGTCTAAACCAAAACAATATTTCTTGAAAGTGTCTAATTGTGATTTCTATACATGCTTGATCTAAATTTCACTACTTTACTAATGCATTCACTTTGTAAAGTGGTAAACACATTCCACATAGAAAAGATATATTTTTTTATGCCTTATATGAAACGCACGTCTTTAACCCTGAAAATGTTTTTACTGATCTCCATTTCCTCGGTGCTGAAAGATACGGCGCAAACGACTTAACCTTTTTTTTTTTTACCTGAACCAAAAATATGACGAGGAAGTAGAAGTTGGCCACTCTTCTGAACTGCTCGAACATGTTCTTTGGGATGAAGTTCCAAAACGTGTACTGGAAATAAACAAGTAGTTCAGGAAAAACAATGGAAATGTGACCAAACGGAAACAGAAACGAGTTTTTGTTGGTTTTAGAAGGAAAATGTCACCGAAACACAAACACGCGGACAGATACAATCAGAACGAGCGGTACACCGATGACCTCGTTTCCGAGGGGTTCGAACAGTCAAGTGTTTGTAGGTTTTTCTGGACTGGAATTGAACAGAGAATGAAGTAAACCTAAATGTTTTTTGGTGAAAGATGTTCCAAGTGGAGAGAACAGAAGCTGATTTTTCTTGTCCGAGGCGGTGCCGTCACAATTGGGACTTTTTCACAATTATTTTACAACTACCCACCTGACTTTAAATATTATATGAAAGGATTTCCCCGTGGCAGAGAAAAGAAAAGGACGCTTTAACTGACCTTGGAGGAGACGATTCTGTTGTCAGGAAATCGTTGCTGAATAAAAGCTTCGGTTCCTGGAGGAGGCTCCTTGTGGCCGATGTACACCGTCCTGCTGTCCACCCAGTTCTCCTCACCAACACACTGCAGGGACAAAAACAGGTTCACGTGCACGTTTGTTCACGTTTAGCATCGTTTCGTTGACGTTCTGCCTGAAGGACGAGTTCACAAGAATACGATGGAGTGGCTTTGCTGTCCTGAATGAAAGTCACAATACACGAGTCCTCAACGTTTAATCTACAATTTAAAGAAATCAACCTTTGTTTTTAACTTTCTTAAAAACGTCACACTTTGTGTTTGATCTGAAAAGAAAAGATATATTTGGGTAATTTATTTTATTGAAACGATTAGTTATTGCTCCACGACACATGCTATGGGTAATTATCAGAATTAAAAACACAGAAGTATTAATTTACCCAATAGGGATTAATAATAATATTAATAATGTTAGTTTGTCTTATAAACAGTGTTTAGTTGACAATTTTGGCCACGGCACTCTTGTAAATAAAACTTTTTATCTCAACGCATTTCTCCTGCTCAAAAGAAATAAGCACATTCAGGACAATAAACGCCCGTCAACAAACTATTATATAGCAAAGGACCAGACAAGCAGACCTTGTACAAAAGTTGACCTTGATTTATGACCTTGACCTTGGAGCTGGATTGATGAAAAGAAAAAAAACTTGCAACCTTTGCCTTTTAGCATTTAAAATACACACGCAATGTGAAAAAAACAAACGGTTAAACAACATTTATGGCGGTTCAAGTGTTTAGATGAACAACTACGCAGTTTAGAAACTGGGGCAGAGACGTTTGAACCGTCTCCAGTTTTTCAAAAGATAAACCGGTCTGTCCTGATTTATAATTATCCTGTAGACACTTAAGACATCGAACCAGGGCATACGCTTTCATTTTGAAAGTCTTCCCGTGGAGTAGAGACTGCCAATGCAAACGATACCATATCTACTACAGCAGGAAGTAGTTCAACGACAACACTGTGCATTTACAAGATACGTTTAGGTTTTTATTTATTCAAATTTGTCACAGACGATCAAAACGAGGGGCAGAACTCAACTGAAGTCCTTGGAACGTCTCGTTTCCGCTCCCTCATCTTGCCTCCTTCCATTCCCTTCTTTCAGCCAAGAAATATTATTTATCTACGATCACGTTCCTGCTGTCGACTCAAGTGATCACAGCCAATAAACCTGGTCAGATTTGTCAACAAAAGCATGCAGAGACATTTGCACGGGCTAACAGGAGGTGACGGGAGCCTGGGACGGCGACACGGCCCAGTTCACGCTCTCCCTTCAACAAACACAAACCCTTGACTAACTAAGATCGTCAGCGATTGAATTTGAAGGCTGTTTATATTCAGAGACCTGCAGCTGTCCATGGTGGAGAAACAGAAGATTAAAGGAAAAGTTAAACCAAAGGAAAACAGATGAATGGATAAATATCGGTCTTCTTTAGAGTGTACACCGACAGTGCATCGAGTGTGGCGAGATATCTGAACCAATTTCTGAGCAGTATTTGACTAACACTGAAGGTTGAAATGAAAGCCAGATCGTTCTCCGCCCCCACAGTGTCGATGTTCCTCTTTTTCACCCACACCTGCCAACATCATCTGCTTTGGCACACCACTTTATTTTTACATTTACCGCTCATCGTCTGCATAGGAAGAACCTGGACCGAGGACAGCGGACGATCAGTCACAACTCGGAGACACAAACTTGTAAGAATATTTTTGAGGATTCGGGATTATTTATTTAGTTACAAATCACACAAAGGAAGAGACTTGTTATTACCCACCGCCAAAGACGAAGGACAATGTTTTTGCCCGTCTGAATTTTTATCTTTTGTATTGGCAACATCCATCCATCCCTTGTTCCGGAGTCGGGTCTTGGGAGCAGCAACTTGAGCAGGGAGGTCTAGACATCTTTTTCCACAGCCACTTTTTCCAGCTCTTCTGGGAGGACCCCAGGGTGTTCCCAGGCCAACCGAGCTATGTAGTCTCTTCAGATTGTTCTTGGTCTTTCACGAGGTCTCCTCCCAGTTGGACATGTCCAGATCACCTTCCCAAGGAGGCGTTCAGGTTCACGTTACATATGCATTTGACGACGAGGCGGTCCATGAAGCACTAACAGATAGTCAATTGTCCTGATAAGATAGACGAAGCTTTTCCTTAGTTTATACATTTCCCAGGAGAAATTGATAAGTATGTCTGTTTCGAGGCCAACCAGAGAGTCAGATTCAGATAACCACAATTGTGAATTTACTCAGGCAGACTATTTTTTCCCCTCATCAGCCTTTGAGTCTGTACTGATTCTTCCAAGGTCCGAAATGGCCAGATTAGGGTGCATTCTACTGGTTCATGCTTACGAGCCTCTTCAAGGTCGTTTTCATGCTAAGTCCCAAAGCCGCAGGTGGCCTGTGATTCAAATCACTTCCTTCTTACGGTTTCGCTCGTAAATCAGCTGATTTTGAGTCCTCCAAGCACGAACCAACTCTTCACATAGGCAGCAGCCTGACGAGGTCCAAATTAGCTGCGGCCGTCTTCTTTGTACGTTGATAAACCAAGATCCAGACTATTCCAAAAACAGGAAACTTGTTATCATAAATCATATTATATGCAATTTCGACATCCTCTATCGATAGCAGATAGACACATCACCCCCAGAGATATATCCAGCTGCATGTGTGTCGTCCAAGCAGATGAGGGTTCTCCAGGACTCTGTCGCTTTGTTGAAAAGATTCTGTCATTTGCGTCAAAAGTCCATTTGGTCAGATCCAAAACAATAGTTCTCATTTCGGAAGATGTGTAAAAATAGGAGCTGCTCCGATACACAGACAGAGAGGAAAAAAAAGCAGGAGGAGAACAGGGAGCGGGAAGAAACGTGTGCCTTGTTAGAGAGCCAGTGAGAAAAAAAAAGTTAAATATCGGACATCGGCCATTCCATCAAAATAACTCACCGATATAAAATACGCCATTTTTGGATGACAACCCAGTGACAAGGATGCCTGCAGTGACAGCACAACATGATGATGTCACGTGCGCCTACCTGATCTGATCAAGGTGGAGAGTAAGAAGTCAAAATGTCGGCAGTGTAGAAGTTGTTTTTTTGTTGAAGATGTCAGATTCCAAAGATTTTTGGACTATGTTGAGCCTCGCTACATCGTCCGCAGTCAGATGTTTTTCCAGCGTAGCCTTACCCGAGTTACAAGCCGTCATTTCCAACATCATTGAGAAGCTAATAGCTGATAACACTTGGGTGAGTTTTACCACAGACATTTGGACATCAAGTGTTAGCCCCATTAGCATGATTAGTCTTACAGCACAATGGATAGACAAAAACTTTGAACTTAAAAAGGCTGTCCTTCATGCACAGGATCCCACCCTGCAGCTAGGAACCTGGAGCAAGCCTCCACAAGTGAAACAGCATTGCAGGTGACAAATGCTAATAAATAACATTTAACACTTTTCATTTAATATAAGTTAAAGTGCTATGCATTTCATATGGCTGTTACTGAATATATGTCACCAGCTCTTACAGCTGTTACACAGTTTTTGTAGCAAATATGTCTAAATAAGAGGGTTATGTTCTGACAAAGGAACATATATAAAATATCGGTATCTGTTATCGGCCAAATAAGTTTTAACATATCACCATATCAGATATTGGCCTAAAATCCAATATCGTGCATCCCTACTCAAATCTGGTAGTGCCGATTCTCATGTCAGCTGTGAACCACTCCATAGAGATGGGCATCACAACATGATGACGCCAACAGGACCACATCATCTGCAAATAGATGAAATAGAATCCTGAGGCCACCAAACTGGACTCACTCTGGTCCCTGGGACAGAGGAATTCTGTCCATGAAAGTTCAGTGACAACAAGCAGCCATGGCAGAGTCCAACTTGCACCTCCAAGGGGTCCAAATTACTGCCAGCAACACAAACTAAAATCTCACACCACTTGTATAGGGACTGAATAGCCTGAAACAACAGAACTCCAATCCCATACTCACGGAGCACCTCCAACAAAGTACCTGGAGGAGCAAGATCGAATGCCTTCTCCAAGTCCACAAAACACATGTAGACTGGTTGGGCAAACTCCCATGCAGCCTTGAGAACCCCAGTGAGGGAAAAGAGCTGGTCCAGTGTTCCTCGACCAAGACACATGTCCGATGTGAATTCCAGGACAGAACCTGCATTGTTCCTCCAGAATCTGACAATCAACCAATAATCTGTCTTTCTTCTCCAGTACCCTTGAACAGACCTTGCCAGGGAGGCTAAGGAGAGTGACGCCCCTAAAATAATGTAGATTAAGGATGACATCACAGAATGCCCAGGATCTTGAACAACGCAGAAGACTGCATCCATAATGGTTTATTTTACAAATGGTAAATGGACTGTACTTCTATAGCGCCTTTCTATCTAGTCAAGATACTCAAAGTACTTTACAACACAATCTTTGCCCTCATTTACCCATTCATACAGCAGATCTATACAAAGATAATGTGAATCTGTAGAGATTAATCAGTGTTTTATCACATTCATACACTGATGGGACACACATCAGAGGCAATGGGGGTTCAGTGTTTTGCCCAGGGACACTTCAGCATGCGACTGCTGGTGGAATCGAACCCCCAACTCTCCCATTGGAGGACGACTGCTCTAACCCCTCAGCCACAGCTGCCCCAAATTGAATAACCTTTTCAGTGAACCATTTTAAGATGGTTAAGGTAATTAAACAACTATAGAAAACACGAAACAGTTGAAACTCAGCAAATGTCACACATACAGAGCTAAAATTGGGTCAAGTGGTAGCTGAGAGTCAACCCTAACTCCTCCTGTGAGTGCTACACACTGTGCCACATCTTTGTTCAAAACTGGCATTAATTACTGGTGTCAACATTGTCTGTTAGCAAAATATTTCAATCTCTAGATCTTTTAAATCTGAAATGAATCACCAGATTTAATTTTTGAAAACATTAGCATGCCACGATATAAGTGATAATATTTCCCAACATGAGTTGCTTTGTTGTATTTTCTACCGCGAGGCCAACGTTCGTGAACCGGCGACGGTTGCCAGATTGAACCAGAATCAGCATGCCTCCTCTTGCGTGTGCCGTCTCTCCCGTAATGCAGCTTTATTGGTTTTCTCACCTCCTTCCTCTCCATCTCTCACCACGAACTGGATGGCCCCAAAGCCGACAATCTCTCTCGCATCGATTACGTTTAACTTTCGTCCGGATTTGAGCTTTTTGCATGAAAGCCTGTCTGCATTTAATCAAATAAAACTGCATCTTTACTAAATAAAAGCTGCACTCATAAAATAAGATCCAGCTCGGGCCTTCAGCCTTCGGCTGTAACCTGAGACTTTAAGCTATTCTGGACCGTGATAATAACGTTCGGCTGCGTTTTGTGTTTCAGGACGCGGCAGGTTGTCAGGACTGTATTTATAGTTGGAAGGGAAACATTTGTGGTCCCGAGAAGAGGATGGAGATCCTCAACCCTCGCATCAGGAATCACGATTACATCCTTGCAACATGAAACACGTATGACAGCAGACACACACACTGCTCATCCACAGGATGTAATTAGACGAAACACCTTTAACGCCATTCTGTGGGGTTTTATCCGCTGCATCGCGTTGTCATGTCAGAGAGCTGAGGTGAATATACAAAAACAATGTAGACATTTTTATATCAGTTTTGTGTCTCAGTGTGGTTTGAAAAAGTGGGAGTAAAGGGCCTAATACGCCAGCTGAAGCTGAACAGTCAATTATGGTCAAGGGTTTTATTTTTCGCACACAGCTCCTGGGGAACCCCTCCCACTGAAGTATACATCACCGCACGGGTTTCTTCCTGTCAGAGTCTCCACTACATCCTGGATGGATGGATGGATGGATGGATGGACGGACGGACGGACGGACAATTGGATGGATGGATGGACAATTGGATGGATGGACGGATGGATGGATGGACGGATAGATGGATGGACAATTGGATGGATGGACAATTGAATGAATGGATGGATGGATGGATGGGTGGATGGATTGACAGAAGATGGATGGATGATTGGTGGATGGATGAATGGATGGATGGATGGACAGACGGATGGATGGATGGATGGATGGATGGATGGATGGATGGATGGATGGATGGATGATGAATGGACAGAAGGATGGATGGACAGATAGATGAATGGATAGATGGACAATTGGATGATGAATGGACAGACGGATGGATGGATGGACAACAGATGGATGGATTGGTGGATGGATAGACAGATGGAGGGCTGGATGGACAGATAGATGGATAGATGATGGATGGAAGGATTGGTGGATGGATGATGGATGGATGGAAGGACTGGTGGATGGACGGACAGATGGATGGGTGGATTGTTGAATGGATGGATGGATGGATGGATGGATGGATGGATGGATGGATGGATGGATGGGTAATGGACAGACGGACGGATGGATGAATGGGATAGATGAATGGATTGACAGACAGATGGACAATTGGATAGATGCACAGACGGATGGATGGATGGATGGATGGATGGACGGACAGATGGATGGATTGGTGGATGGATGGATGGGTAGATGGACGGACAGACTGATAGATGGATGAATGGATAGATGGATAAACAAACAGATGGATGGATTATTAACAAATGGATGGATGCACAGATGGATGGATGGATGGATGGACAGATGGATGGATTGGTGGATGGATGGATGGGTAGATGGACAGACTGATAGATGGATGAATGGATAGATGGATAAACAAACAGATGGATGGATTATTAACAAATGGATGGATGGACAATTGGATGGATAAATGCATCCAGGAGTTTTTGTCCATTAGACTAATTTAGTCAAGTCAGGCTTGTGTGGGGAAGGAGGCGGAGCTACTCTGAGAACAAAATGATGTGGTTTCCATCACGTAGCTACGTCCACGAGAGGAGATTTCGCTGCTTCGGGTGTAGTATGCAGGGCCCTTAAAGCCATGAGGCAAAACACAAATAGTATTTTCAATATTTGGTTTTCATGCATCAGAATGATCAGTTTCTGTGATAAATAAAATGTACGACCTTGATTTGTGACCTTGACATTAGAGCTTGGGTGATAAAAGTCTACTTGAAGCTCCGTCTTGTTATGGTGTAGATGTGTAAGAAGTTTCATTGAGTTACCCTTAAGGCACCAGGAGTTTGTGGCAAGACAAACAAGGCATTTAAAGCTCAGCCGTGAACAATTAATATCTAACCTGCTGCAGATAAACTCTTTGAATGACGTGCGTTTGGAGAAATAGTTTAATCTGATGAGACCGACGAGTCAACAACGAGGCTCTGCAAGGTCTAAACCAAAGAGGATTGCCGTCGTCCTAAAACAACTCCAATCTCAAACTTTCAGTTTCATGTAAAGTTTTATAAACGTTTACATTTATAGTGGGTTGACGTTAAATGGTTCTTCTGGCTGAAATGCTTCAGATATGAAGAACCATGGAGTGAGAAGCTGACCTTAATGTAAAGTTTGTAAAATAATCTCTGCATGAATCTATGAATTCCTTCAAATCTGAGATTTATTAAGAAAAAACAAAATCACATTTGGTCCAGCTCAGACTAGCCGTCCACAGAACTTCACTTCAAAAGATCTGAACTGTCCCTTTAATCTAAAGAAGACGTGGAAACGAAACAACAGCTTCAGGATTCAAACACCTCACTGGCAGAAACCTCTGTCCATCTATCTGTCTGTCTGTCCATCTCTTCATCCATCTGTCCACCTATCTGTCTGTCTGTCCATCTCTTCATCCATCTGTCCACCTATCAATACATCCGTCTGTCCATCCATCTGTCTGTCTGTCCATCCCTTCATCCATCTGTCCATCTGTCTGTCCACCTATCAATACATCCATCCGTCCATCCATCTGTCCAACTATCAATACATCCGTCTGTCCATCCATCTGTCCATCCCTTC